ACAGTGAACATTAAGTCTGCATTAATTTTTTCATGTATACTGTTCAGGAGGATGTATTGACAGAAATGCAATATAAGATCCATAGTGGTGTATAAAGACCTTGCATAATGAACAGTTATGTTTTTATTACCTTAGAATGAGTCATTTCTATCTACATGCACTGCGGGTCCCCTTACACAGACGTTGCCATGTTGCACCGCCAGACGTTGCCATGTTGCACCGCCATGTTTCTACAGTAGCCCAAATGGACAAAATACTCTACTGAGCGAGTTTTGTCACTATGTTGAATTCACACGAGGAAGAAGAAGAACAACAACAAGTAACATTAGTAGTAATAGTAGTAGTTGACTGGTTTATTAGAAGAAAGAAAAGGGGTCCACACGTATTATTTAGCACAAGAGACGACAGAGCTTTTTGGCCACGATAGCTTCTCCTGTGTGCTTGGAAAGGGAGGAGTGAGAATTGACTAATGGTGCATTTATGTGGTGTTGGAATAATCAGAATATTTTTCCTCCTTAAATATTTATTGCAAAAAGGGAAATAGTGTGTACGGGAAGAAGTTAACAGAACTTTGATTCATGCAAAATCCCTTATTGCATATAAATATTTTGCAAACATGTTTGTAAAATGGTTATAACGGTGAGTTTGCTGTCCATATAGAGTGAACTAGATGTCTGTGTGTTGTTTTTATGCTCTGATAATGCTAATCCTACACATCTTAGTAGTATTGTCCATGTTAATTATACATTTTGACTTCAGAGTACATGAACATACACTGAAGTCGAAAGAACAACTTCACAACTCGGGAAATGGGGCCATCTGATGAGCATGTGAATGCACCGTGAGCCACTGGTTACAATTCGCAACCCTCATCACTAAATGCCACTAAAACTCACACACTGAACTGAACACAATGAAGACTTTTCAAGTCAGTCTGCTCTTACAGGAATAGTATTCCCCAAAATGTTAAACTACAGTATTCCTTCAAGTATCCAACTACAAAATGACAGGTTTGCATAATGCTAGTGGTGAAAAATACTAACAGTCACTGCACTGCAATTTGTTCATATTCACTACGGACAATATTATTTGGCCATTGTAGCAAATTACATGACGTAGGTAATCAAACAAGTTGCCTTAGAACACGATTTTTATCTTGGTTTTTCAAATGGCCTTGAGCATTTTTTTTGATGAAGTTGTTGCTTTTCCATTTCATTATCTGAAGTACAAGATAAGATCAAATTACACATTTTGGTCACACATACAAGAGAGAGAGTCTCTTGGTATTAAAACTGACTGAATGAATCAGGCCTATGAATGCAGCTCAGCTGTGGTTTATTATGCATGCAGTGTGCTCTGTCTGAAGGTCCATGCAGCACACATGTTTTTATCTGACACTGGCAACACACTGAGGCTTTGTTGTTTTTTGCCTGTTCAATCACACACACACGCACACTGAGCCTCCTGTCCTCGCTGCTTCATCCTCATCCTCCTCTCTCATCTCTGTGCACCCGTACTGCAGGTCAGGATTCACAAAGATAGAGAGTGAGCCGTGGCAGACACATCTACAAAGTAAATTGTTTTTTGGTCTTTTTACTAAAGCTGTACAGCACTTTCTGTGCCAGATGCTTGTTTCCACCCCTTGGTCACAACTGTTGTTTGATCTGGCGAAAAAAACAATCCTCACACTCACTTGTACACCTTTTGTTGCTTGCAATGAACACAAACCCATGTGGTGAGTTGTAAATCAACACCTTTTCTTTAATAGAAGACATTAAAGTTGATACCCCGATTTTAGCGAGAGCACAGATAAAAACACCCACAGTACAGTAAATGTAAGTCCACAAATGGCAGGTAACAATGGAGGCAGTAACAGGTACAGTCACCTCAGAGCAGTACTCGCAAAAGATGCACAAGATTAACTCTTTTTTTTCAAATAGCAAAAGCATTATTGATATTTTAGAGAAACAGAGCTATTTAAAATCTCTTTCAGGAACAAGCAAAACATCGATACAAAATAGAACTCAGACTATGTCTGAAAAGTGCCTGATAACTACTTGTAGATATATCTCTTTTCTCCATGTACAGTATTGCATCACATGTATGATCAGAAATGTATTTTTTCACATAGCCTTCTGCACATTATCTTTTAGCTCTGTATTCCAGAACATTGGATTTCAAATGAAATACTGACTGTGAGGTTGAAGTGCTGACTTTCAGCTTTAAGGATAGTTGAGAGATTAAAGACTGTGGGAACAGTTGGCACTGTAGCCCAGTACCCTTGGGAGAGATGCATTCAAAGAGCTACAAGTTCTACACGGTTGATTGGATGTGAATGTAATCCCCCTTAAATGAAAGCAGAGAGTCAGCATTTGAAATGATGAGGCTGTGGTATACTTTTTCTTGTTGTCAACAAATCTGGAAAAGACTGAAATCAACAATGCATTAATCCTCTTGCAACACTTTCTGACTTTTCCTAACCTGTCAGCACCTGATCCTTTTTGTGCTCACTGAAGACAGAAATCTTTAAATTCTGATCAAAAATGTACAGTTAAATTTTTTGGAAGGCTCAGTTATTTACTAAAACAGTTGTAAGACAATGTTTCTGAAACAGGACTTAATATTGTATTTGTTGTGGACTATAATCAACTGCCGATTAATACACAGTTGTGCGCTAATAATCACCTGTTTTATCCTCTTTACACTGGCTCCCTGTTTGTTTAAGGATTGATTTTAAGATCTTATTGATCCTTTAAGATCTTATTGATCCTTTTAATTCCTTATTAAACATGTGTCTTCTGTTTCTTTACCTCAGCATCTGCCGTCAGGTCCCCGAGGCTCTGGAATAACCTGCCCGAGTAAATTAGGCTGTCAGATTCGTCACTCACTACCGATTGTTAGCGCAAAACAAAATACCCCCCAACAAGAAATCAGGCAACAAGAACATGATTTCAGCCATGAAACTAAATGTCAATGTAGGATTTGTTGACAGTATAAAAAAGATGCAGTATAGTATAGTACAGAGCCAAAACACTGTCTGGATATTTCTATACAAACACTGACTCTCATTCTTCTGATTAAATTTAGGACATAAATGTCAACAAAGCGTCTATGTGTCAGCCCAGGGTGTGCCCCGCCTCTTGCCCAATAACAGCTGGGATTAGCCACAGCCCCTCAGGACCATCCAAAGGATAAGCTAATGGATTGATGAATACAGACAAATAACAAATAAAGTAATGAAAGCAGAGGCTCAACCTGCCAAGAACAAAATTTCCCTTTTGTGGTAGGGTTCAGGAAAAGCAATGATATTTAGTTTTCAGACACAGCTAACAGCATGGTGACAAAGAGGTATATGACTATTTGTATTGGAACAGGCATCAGTCCTGCAAGGAGATGTCTCTTCACGGCACAGTCGGCATATTTCCCCAGAGTCCAATCACTTTTCAGTATAGAATCTTTCCATGGACTAATCCATTTTACAACACAATACAGATACAGATATTCCTATATCATGGTTCAAGTTGAGTTCTCTTTTTAGTTCATAATCAAAATGTCACATTCACAAGTACATTAGATTCACAAAAGAGACAACTGGAAAGCTTGGCATTTGTGCAAGATGAAGAAAACCAATGAGTAGGTAGTGAAGAGTATTTTCACAAAGCAACAATAGTTAGCCTGTCTGCAGCAACACACATCTTTACAGTGAATATATATATATGTATATGTATATTGCAGAGGCTGTTCTTCAATGCAGTTTATTTTTGCAGGGTGCTGTGGTTTTGACCCTTGCAATTTTGATAATTTCTCTTATATATATTGACGCACATGATGTCACTAATTCTGGATGACGCATCATGTATATGTGTACACATTTCTTATAAATGACACATTTATCTCAAAAGAGTGCACTATGAGCATCTGTGAATGTAAGGACAACAATAACAACTAGTTATGTTGTGTCTGGCATTCTCAAAACTATAGGTCACCGTAGCACACAAGTACACCAGTCTGTTCACACACACACACGCACCCACACACTTAAGCATGCACCCATCACTGAAGAGGCAATCTTTATATTTTCACCTCATTTAATGACCTGCAAGCACAATGTGTCCCTGTGCCTGTGTGTAAGGCATGCTTCTGCGTGTGTGAGGCTGGTTGCCCTCTCCACTTCTCTGCTGTAATTAGCATGATTGGAGTGCAAGGGATGGGTAGAAACACAGGAAGAGATGGCGCTGATGAGGCTATTCACCCTGCTGTGTAGCCTGCCTGGCGCCTCTTCTCAGCAACAAGCTGGCATCTTTTGTCTCCATCGCTACAGCTCTCATCAGTGACGGCTGTGTGAGTGTGTGTGTGTGTGTGTGTTAGAGAGACAGAGAGAGAGAGCCTGCCGTACACTCATTTAAGGAGCACTCGTTGGACAAAGTTAATTACACATTCATTAAAGCCCCAGCCTCTCGTTCACCCGCTCCACTTGATCCGTCCACGCTTGACCTGCAGACGAGGGAACGTACACATCCACTTCCACATCCCTCTCACTGGCTCAGACAGCTGATGCTATGTTGTAATGGACACTATGGATATATTATATAATATTAGGCCTGTCATTTGCCCCTATATAATTAAATTTGATGGGCTTGGATAGGATTCAAATGCAATATGATTTTGTTTAACCTTGCACTGACAAATAAATTAATTTTATTTAGAAAAGGTTGGTTAAATCCGGTTTGTGTGGCTGAGTCACATTCTCTGTCTACAGGTCGAAAGAAGGAACACTTACAGTAAATACACACACACATACCCACTAATATTTGTATTAGTATCCTTGTGAGGACCTTCCTTCAATTACAGCACTGAAGGCCTAACACAAACCTAAACTCCGTTCTAACCTCTCAGTGTTATTGTGAGAAATCCAAACCACTTCGGATAACTTCTGCACATTTCATCCCTCCTAGAAGAGGTCACAAGATTAACCCAAGAGGACATGAGATGAGACTTGGTGGGGAAATAAAAAAAAATTCTTTATTTATTGGTGTTTCCTCTAATCTTTGTTCAAATGAGCCACTCACAGCACATGCATCATGTGACAATGGGTCACACAAGGACATTGGACAAGGACTTTGTGTCAAGGGTTAAAAAGCAAAAAACAAGTTGGGAACCATGGTCACCAATTAGTAAGACCACAGCATGAGTGGGATCAGTGCTTTAGTTGGTTGTAACTGGCTTTGGGGTTGTGTGTTCAAAGAAATCTAAGCTGGATTCACAGCTGTTGGTATTTATGATATTTTGATATTTTCTTTTTCTGTCAACTTTGTGTAAGCTCTGCTGTTAGCTATATAGGAGTGAAGTAGCAGCATTTATTTCATGGCTGACTGCTGCCTTGGCTGTGATTGTGACAGGCTGTTATGGTACTATTTACATGGATAGACATTATTAATTAATTATTTTCAGCGTGTGGCACATTTTATACGCTCAGGAACCTAATAATTTACAAATTAAGCACTGGTTGTAGCTATGGCTTTGGCTCTTATGAATAGCAAGGCTTTGACACATCAGTTTTTAATGTTGTAAAACGAATAACATGCTGGTGCAGTGAACTGAAATGGTTGCTTTTCAGCTTTTTCTAGACTACAGATGAAAAATAGCCTTCTGGCTAAATCTGGTACATTTACATTGATGCTTGCCGAAATATTCATGAATGTGCACTGTTCCTTTAAAAACTAAAAAGACAACTCATTGTCCTTGAAAGGTCTGTTGGTCCTCATAAGGAAACACAGCCATAAACAAAACAAACTAATTTTCCCTCTTGTACACTTACTGTGTGAGCTAATTTACTTGCAGGATTACATGCAGACGAGGAGCATTTTCCTATCCAGCTCACTGACTCCAACTCATCCTCTCAGGGCAGGAGGTATCGAGGGTGCAGGTCTTGTTTATAATGTAATCAGTTAACTATGTTGTAATGACATCAACCACGATCTCTCCCGGATCACTCTATTTAGGACTCTGTTGCCAAACCAGTCCTGCAGATGGTCATTTAGTAACACAATATCATTTCAGGCTGATTTGCATCATTGAATGCTTCTGGTCATAAAAAAGAAACAAGGGAAAGGAGTACAAGTGGATATTTGAAAACTTCAAAGCCTTAAAGGCTTTTTTAAAATTAGACACTTACAACAATTGATGGGATGAACACAGCAATTTTCTGCCAACGTTAGAACAGTTATTTCACAAATAGATTTAGTTATTGTTTTTCTCTGTGCTCTCCTTATTGGCTCAGTTGGAAAAAAATGTGATGTTGCCTACTTCTGTGTACCAATCAGGATTTAGCAGCATTAAAATCAAAAATTGCTTATGTTGCCAGGCCACTGTCAATCAGATACGATCAAACCACACTTAGCCAACCAACTCAGCAGACTAGCTGAGTCTGCAAGTGTTAAACTTTCATAAAATATATCCTAATATAAATGAAAACAAAGTAGGGTTTCTTCAGAGTTGATCTTTGATTGTTGCTTACTTACTCGTTAATATTTAATATCATAGAGAAGAACCATTTTTGAAGATATGGGGCTTTAAGCCACTAATGTCATTCACAAGGTTATTCATGTGTTGTTAATAACACTTAAGCACACATTATTCACAGCGGTAGTGCTTTGCTTTTGGCCTCAACACACCTTTCGAAGAACAAGATGTGAGAGAAATAAAATATTTTATATATAGATTTAAATATTTTATTTTCATGTTTTTTTAAATGGGTCTGCTTTCCCTACGTTCCATATGATATGATTTATGTTTCCACACTGAAAGTGGGAGTGACTGTGCACAGTTACAAATCACTGTGCCGTAAACAACTGCATGACATCCAAAAACGAACCTCACCATATCACTTACAGTGATATATTCATTGATCAAATGATGTAATAATTTTTAAAATGCATGAATATTCTGGGCATCCTGACAAATTATAATTTTAGTAAAAGTTATTCTTCTCTAAATCTTCATTTTGACAACACAGTGTATGTTAATGTGTTAGCGTGCAGCATCAAAGTCAGAGATCTATGATTTTTATGTTCTCCTCACTGAACTAATGACTTGGCTAAGACATTCATCTCCCAAAAGCTCTGATGTATTATGTTTATATTCTACCCTGTGTGAAAAAGTGAAATGTCAGCTATGGTGATGACGGGGCGTTTTCTTTTATGCTGTCTAACGTCTGCTGAATGTCCTTCATTTTCTGCACTGAGTGTGACCTCCTGTGGTTCCGGCACCAATGTTGTATTTTATTTTAGATATGTTTCCATGTCACCAAGAGTTAGCTTTGTACTCGGTGAATAAAGTGATATGGTATTGATAGGCATTGTGATTCCAATAAAGTTATGCGTTGCTAGACATGTGCTCCTCAGTTTCATGTCTGCTGACACTGGAATTTATAACAACAGCGTTTGTGTACTGAGAATAGCCCAGGAGTCAGGAGGGGAACTGTAGGGTGTGTTTGTGTGTGTGTGTGTGTGTGTGTGTGTGTGAAAGTGTTTGAAAGTAGAATGATGGGTATCAACAGGTGATCATTCTCTGGATATGTGTGCATGTGTTGTGTATGCACACTGCAAAGAATATCCATCTTGAAACATGATTTAACCAAGGACTGAGTTATACTTTTCACAGAATATATCTCATAATGTGATAACAGTGACAGTATTGAATTATTTCCAATGCAAAGCAAGCTGTGAATTTTTAAACCTAAATACTTCGTAGACTTATTCAAATTGATTTAGTCTTTTCTCTTCTATTGTGTGTGTTACAGCTACACTGTTTGGTGGATGTGCGTGGTTAAAAGCCTGTGTTTGTTCTGTACACAGCAAATATGTAAATCTTGAGGATTTAGTTATTAGGCTCCCTCCAGCGTATTTGTAGTAAAATATTCTGGCTTCCATTAATAAACTAAATGTCCTTTAAGAAATGATCAAAAACTATGCATGGCACCTTCCAACTATGCTCTGTGCATGCGTATGTGTGTGTGTCTTTACCACCGTAGGAGGTTAAGACAGTTTGTCCCAGTGGGCTTCTGTAGCCCCTGTTACCTAACCTTCCTTTTCCTTTTTTCTCTGCTCCCCTCACCCATTTACAGACATTATGCTATGCAGCAAGGCACATCACCGCTGACAGCTACAGCCAACAGGCTGCCTGTGCACATTCCCGGCTGCAACATCTATGAAGCCCTTTAAACCTGATATTAACATGCACCTTGTATGACTGGATTACATGTGGATGGAGCGACAGCATATGAAGTGTGGATATTTGAAAGAATCAGAACATCTGATCACCTGAAACACCAAATACCAAGAAAATGTACACAAATGAGCATATATGACCAGTGTGTACTGGAGATACATTTGTCAGGTGCATGTTACTGCCAAGTGGAAGGGTAGAGCAGCTAATGAGAGTTTCATAAATATGTCAATTTGAAAGTGGTGCCTTGCATTTAGATCACGACCCAGTGTTGTGTCTGATAAAAGGTGGAGCGGGTTACACAGCTGAGGGGGCAGGTATTATTAGGAAACTGTATTAATTCTGTAGGAAACTGGAACATTTCATCTACTGTCCATTGCAGATCAGTCTCTAAGCTACACTCCAGTGTCGTTGGGTTCAGTCGTGTTACGGAGGAGTTACATCTGGGTTTGAGGTCTCATATTGGGCAGTTTGGGTTTTAGTCAGTTTTCATTTGAAGTTCGCTGTTGCCTCTTCAGCATTTGAAACACCTCTGTGTTTCAGAGATGATGCTCCCAGCTGGCGTTTCAGGCGATTGCCAGAACATTTCAGCAACCCCTGCAGGAGATCCTTAGAGCGCTCGTTCAGCCAGACAGGCACTCGTCTTGCACATTGGAGTGTTCAGGATGCCTTGCTTGGGGAGATTGAGTTGGCATTCTGATCAGCTTGCACACACTCACACATGCAAAGTTCAGAGTTTATGCTTCGTTGTTTTTCTTCTCCATCACCTCTTCTGGGAGAGCCCTTCAACTTGAACCACACATCTGCCTCTGTTTGTTACTTCTGGCGAGAGAGTTCCTGTGAAAAGCAGGTTTTCTCCATTAGAGAGAACTTTCTGAAAACCCCAGGTCTCCAAACTGTGTATCTTTGCAGAGAACACCCTTGTTAAATCGAGGTGTGTTCAGAGCATGCTGGTCTCATGTTATAGCTTCACTCCAAAATAGATTGTGTGAAGTCACACAGCTTGTGTGATTGCGGATGTGTGAACCTTCCCTCTACACCGAGAGAAGGCTGGTGTGACAAGCAGAGGCTGTGAACATTGGGAACTAGTGTCTGCTTCAGTTTAGCATTTGAAATGGAATGCGCTCATATTGTCGATGTGCCTGTCATCACTTTTTGACACTGAGCAAACCTTTCGAATGGGAGCTGATCTTTAACTGTGAGCAGCACGAGTTTTTTATACAAGGGCGTAGTGGGTGAAGTCTTAGTCTCACTTGCAAATTACCTAAGATGACGTTCCACTGAACACAGTGAAAATGTATTCATCAAAAACTCAGACACAGTCACTGGCACACAAACTCACACATTCACGCTGTGCTTTTGCAGGAGTACACGCAGGCAAAAGCAGCAATGCGAACTCACTCTCTCTCTCTAACCGCCATCCGGCAAAATGCCGCCCGTGTTTCAGGTCTATTCCTGCAGGTTGTTACTGGAGTAGAAACTGGACGTCTCCGATACTGTTTTGGAGACGCTCCGGGACGATGACCCATTCGAGGTGAGGTCCAGGGAGGAGCTATGTGGTCTGGCCCCGACTGCGGGCACAGCAGGCCCTGGACCCACTATTGCCTTGACCTTGGGCTGCTCCATGTCCTCCCCAACCTGGAGAACAGTGGACACGGTGGTCTCCATCCGGCTGGTCTTGTAAACGCTTGTCTGGGTCTGAAGGTAGCGCGTGGACTTGAGTTCCAGGCCTTCGTAAGAGCCTCGTGGGACGCAGGGGCAGCAGTGGAAGGCTTGTTTAAAACCAGCTCGGAATCTGTGCAAGAAAAGCAGAGATTAGTCTTATTGAGTTGTTAGCTTTATAAGGAAATTTGTTGTGCTGCCCTCAAGTGGACAACATATCAATGGACGCAGGTTTTATGGACATTGTAATTTTACATCCAACAACAACACCTATTCAATGTTGTACAAATCCTATAGATATTACAGATGCAACAAAAGCATTCATGTAGGTGCACTTAAGCTTTGGATTGCTTTCAAAGAGCAGAAAGCCGATGATATTGACTCTTCTCCGTTCAGAGTAGTCACGCACCAAAGAGAATACAACATCATGGGCCTTGACAACCTGTCAATGGCATGTTAGGGAAGAAGATCACAGATGAGGTCAGATAAATGGATAGTGTGCTTCTTTTGTAAATTAACCTAGGATGGAACACAACTAATAGAATCCATATTTTACTTTTTAATTGTTTGTACACTGTAATGTATTATCATGCAGTGCAGTTAACAGAAGTTCCAGATAAATAAACCAAATAAATAAATAAACCTAAACCAAATTAGTATTTACATATTCAGTTGTAACAAAAAACGTTTCTGTTTGACACAGCCATATACAGAACCAGCGAAACAGACAGTTTAACAGAAGCCTAATTGATGCAGTATTTGCATTCTGACTGTGCTGTACTTTACAGGCTAATAAAGATGTATTATAAACAAACAAAAAAACAGAAACAGGAAAAGAGCAAACACCGAGCATTCTAATGTTAATTAACACTAAATGTTGCATATGACTTTTACTAATGACTTTTACTGAGAGCCAGATTTTACCAGCACAAAACACAGAAAGGAAGAGATGACAGAAAAAAGAGCTGTGCGGATGAGATGGCATCACAAGTGGCTGGCAACTGAATGGAAACACCTCACCTCAGTAAAGACACACACAAATACACCCAAATACATACAAAGCCCAGACAGGGAGAAGCAAAGAAGAAGAAAAAAGAGAAAATGTCAGTCGCTGAGAGCAGAAGAAAGATGAAAAATGAGAGGAAGGGGCCAACATCGGTCACACATTTAATTTAAATCGGCTGAGTTGATAGAGACAAACGCCGGTCGATATACTGTACAGAATGATGACTAAACCTCAGCTCACTGCGGTCCAACCCACATATTTTCATTTTTAGGACTTAATGGATTTCAGAGGCGAAAACACCCAAGTGTGAAATCTCATTTCTCCGACTGCACAAAGACAATTAACAGGTGGCCGCAATGGAAGCCAATGTGAGATGATTGATGAAAGACAACAAGCAGAGTTGACCATCTGTCTTTATTTTGCCAGACAATGTTTAAATTGAATTAATTGACAGGCAGAAAGTTAATAATGCCACAGTTTGAGTTTTGAATTGTTGATGTTCACAGTAGGATTCAGATTTCAGGTTTTAAAGTTTATTCTAACTTCAGCCTACATATGGAAGTCTTTGAGGTCCACAGAGTTTCTTTCCAGAAAACTGATCTCAAAGTGAGCATAAGCGGCTTCTCTACTGTGGCGGCTGATTTTTCACAACTGCTGGTCACTAAAGCAGCAGTGGAGGATGGGAAACTGCTATGCGATGAGCCTGACTGCTTGTGTGTGTGTGTGTGTGTGTGTGTTGGCTGCTGTCCTGAAGGACAATATGATTGCTGCTAAACAACAAAAAAACATTTTCACCCTGAAGAGTTGTCATCTTTCCTTAAAAAAGGGACCTATTCTACTCTTTCTTCTACTCTACTACTTTATCTGGTAATTACTTACAAATGAGGAAATTGTCTTTTCGAATGAATAGATAGTGTGATGTAAATGTAATGAAATATTTCATCAAGGAAGTAAATTAATTAGTAATAATACTGAAATGATTTATAACTACTGTACATTGAAGCCCGTATTCAAATGATATCTCAAATACCATCAACAACAACACTGTGAATAAAAACCTTATGTAAATCACGTGACTTGTGTAATGTACTTTTTAAAACCCAAACCCCAATTTTTTCCTAAACTGTTTACCACTTGGCCTAACATACCTCAACATCATGTGACTTACGTCATGTGACTTATGCAACATTTAAAAAGTTAATTGGAATGTTCTTTTGCTTTGCTTTTTTCAGCCGTGTTACATATACATTCGTGTTCAAATGAATTTGAAGGCAACCCACATAGTCTAATCCTAGACTGAGATGTAGAATTGATGCTGTTCCGTTCATTCACAGTGCCTCAACCTCACCGCCTCAGTGAGGCAGCATTAGCTGACAGGCTGATATTACTGTAAGGCAGTCCCCCGTTTATCCATTATTTTTTCACCTATGGTGTTGAATCCAAAATGCTTCACATCACACATAACCTCTCAGTTGGTTTGATGTCATAATTATCTGTTCAACATGGCTCGCTAGTTTGTTTGGGGGGCATTTTAGCCTTTATTACAGACAGTGGCGTAATGACAGTTAATGAGGGAGAGAGAGATGCATTAGAGATCCCTGGTCCGACTCCAACCGGATATGTTGCAGTACATGTTTGCCATCTTAACCCCTAAGCTATGGGAGCACCCCACAGTTTGCTGGTTTCCTCCATTTCTCCATCCAAACAGCTAAGTTTACTGATAAGGCAACAGGGCTTTCAAATGGTCATTTTAGGGAACGGTTGAATGGTAATTCCAATATTGAATAAAAAAGAGTCAGCCCTATGGTGTAATGGAGTTCTTTGGTTTGTGAACTTGCACTGTAGCTCACAACGCGCTGCACTGAGCTGTATGCACATTTTCAAGTGTCAAATTAACAGTAATTAACAGCGCTCTAGGATAGAGAGGCATTCTGCCCAGTCGCTGCAAAGCTTTACATGTGCAACATCTGTGCAGGAAGTGTTTGATTTTATTGACAGCAGCTCAATGCCAACCATAAAAATGAATGAACTTTGCAGTAAAAATAATGGAATGCTTTTGTTTAATGCACAAATTGCAGTTGGAGCAGATCATATAAATATCATATACATAAATAAAAATAAACATCAAATGAAATCCCAGTTCTCTCAGAAGTTGGGTTAAATATTTGAGAATTTACAGTAAACTAAATATACATGAATATATATATTTGTGTGTGTGTGTGTGTAGATTCAGACTAACCTGTCATTGAGGCAGCAGTAGATGATGGGGTTGTACATGGTGGAGCTCATAGCCAGCCACATGATGGCCAGATAAACCTGCTGGATGAACCTTTCTTCAAACATGTCAGGAAAGAACTGGTGCAGCAGGAAGTAGACGTGGAAGGGCAGCCAGCAGATTGCAAAAGTACACACCACCACGATCATCATCTTCACCACCTGTTGGACACGTAACAGTACCATTATGTCTTCATTTTTACTGCTTCTTCCTCCAATCCGGATTTCACCAGTGTCCATGTACTCTTCAGACTAGATCATAAAGGCCAGGGAAGACTTTAATATTGTAAAAAAGCCTTCAGGCTGCAAGAAATCTCACAGATTTGTGTTTATTGTCAAAACGCAAGACATCTCAGTAAAACTAATCTGTCGAAAGGTTTAACAGTATACTTGCCCCATAAATAATATATAATACATGTTAAACCTGTCCAGGAAAACCATCCATCACAATAAAGTTAGAGCGGGTATTATCAGTTTGTTGTTTTTTTTTTTTTGATGTTATGATGATGAAAACATGTTGCTCTGTATTGATTGCATCCCTCTGTGGACTGTGGAGTATTCAGTAACAGATCTGTGAAGCTGCCTCATTAGAGTAGTGGACTGGTGTCCTGCACAGGTAACATAATCGAGGAATTTCTGCAATCAATAATGAAGACTGAAAATAAGAAAAAGAAAACAATTATGGCTTTTACTGTGTTTGCAGTAAATTTGTTTTAAAATGATGTTTCTAAGATTTCTGTTCACCACAGCTTCCTAGATATGTCATAAATACCTTTTCTCCCATGCTCAAGTCTCAGAAGAACATGTTTAACAAACCGTTAAATCTATTTATTTTGCAGTATGCTTGGCCAGGCTTAGCAGATTTATGGTTTTTGAAAGCGAAAGTAAACAATAGGAGGAAAATAAATGTACCACTTACTAATTTTTTTTCTACTTTAATCTTCTGTTAGGAGAAGGCAATTGTGAATCTGTACAATTTCCTTATCTGTAACGAACACATAGGTACATTCATCCTACTACCCATAACAAAGCCGTGCTAAGCTAACATTTGATATTATGAAGACAGCAATGTTAACCTTAGCAAGCTATCAATAAGAAAACAACATGACATACTTAACTTAAATCTAATGTTGAGTTAGGTTATATTTTTGTTGTTAGGGACAGAGTAGTTATATTCCTTCTTGTCCACCGCTGACGTGGGGCTGTTGCTGTCTGCCATTATTGACGGCTGTTGTGACAGATCCAGCGCCTTTTTCAAGATGGAAAGCGATGGATTGACTGTGACTATTGATTAAATACTGAATTTAAAATGTTAATTAGCTGGACTTGCTGGGCAATATGGATGCACATGTCTCAGTAAATAATGATCACTAAGTATTCAGCCAAGCTATTGTATAAATAGTATTTTATTTTTGAAAATGTATAAAAGGTAAGCTTGGGGGAGTCAGTTTGAATGGGCCTGATACAGCCTGTAAAATGAATGATAGTATTGTTATCTACAGGTGCTATGCTAAAGTTTGTCAGTAGAGGAGATGCTGGATCATCAGTCAGTACAAGCAAAGACACAGTTGAGTTAATAATAACTTATCCTATTCAATAAATTGTGTTTGTATATACCTCATTCTGTTCTGTATAGGCCACATATTCTTTAACAGACAGATGGAGCTAACTGTTTAAGAGGAGGTTTTCTGTTTGTCTGTGGGATCATCATCAGCCTCCTCTGCTTTGTATTCTGTGCTTCCACGCCACCAGATTCAACTATGCAGTTAGTCTTGGTGCAGCATTCCTTGGTAAATTTGCTCAGTGTATTTGCGCCCTGTTTAATGCTTGTCTCTGTGTCTACAATCACTCTGGATCTGCCTCCTACCTCGGTCCTACTCCCGCCAGCACAAACCTGCATTGGATTACAAGACTCCTGGGTTTTCAAGACTCCTGGCTTTCTGGTTTGCCCCCGGCTCGGATAATCCCTCCCTTTCTGTCTCTTTCCACCTGCCTCAGCTGGTTTTGTTCCCTGGTGGAAGCCCTTCCCTCTGCCTATTCGCCTAAGTGTCATGATACTTATTTAACCTCACATGCTTTTGACAAACTTTTTATATAAAATAATTAAACCTACTTCCCATCGCTGTCTCTGTTCTGCTTCTGGGTTCACTTCACCCAACATGTGAATTAAGCACTATGCCTATGTTTTGTGTTGCAGAGGGATCTACTGAAGTTAGCCCCCTCTTTTTCTACTTGTTTAGTCTACTTGTTTTAGTTGTCCTTGTCATTTAGTTATGCTGTTGGGTGTTTCCCCTTCTGGTTTTTGGATTATTGTTTTATTTTGAATTTTCACGTTCCCTGGATTCTTGTTTACTTGTGCACATTGGCTTGTTCATTCCTTGGACTGCCTGCTTCCTTTGTAAGTTTAATCACTGGCAAAAATATCACTTTCTTTACCTGCTCTGCCTAGTGTCCTAAGTGGGGTTTAAAGCCCTTGTTCCTGTGTTTGCACTTGACTAACAGGAAGTTGTGTTCAGTCCTGGTAGCTGCTGAGACCGGTTCCATTGCCCGCTGGCCTGATTCCGGTGCTCATTCCGGACTCTGTCCGCTAATATGACCGCTAAATTCGCTGCAAGTTTAACACCACATAAAGTGGACTAGCAATCCAAAGTACAGAAAACTAAAGGAAAATATGATGAAATACAGAAAGTAGGGTCAATGCTTCCAAAAATGCATATCAAAGTAAATGTTCACATACTGAGCTACAGTGCACCTTTACTAAATATGCCCTGTGTAAAGCATCATAGGATTCTTATTTTATGTTCTAGGGTGAGAAAGGCGAGTCTCTGCAAGTGTTTTCATTTGGAGAGTATTCTGTAAGGAACTGAAACTGTGACCACACCTGACAAGCATGGGCCATTAAAGATCACTCAAAATGAAAGAAAGGAGAGGAGAAGAACTGATGGTGAAAACAGAGGATGAAGAGATTGCGGTGGACTGAAAAGACAATAGATAGGCTTGAAAACCACAGCAGAAGATAGGATAAAAGGCTGGGATTCAGGTGCATGGTGCTGTGATGGTGATTTCATCACTGGATGAAAATGCAGGCACACATGTTCAGGGCTGCTGTGTACAAAAGTGCATGTGACGAGTTTGGAGTAATTTGATTACAATAGTTGGTAATCCAAAAGCTATAGGCAGCTATCTAAAATGCAGGTTACCTTGCGTTTGGCAGTCAGCTGCTCTTTGTAGCGGTCAGAAGAGTCTCCAGGGATCTCACTGGCCCAGAGGGTCAGTCCCACCACCAAGTAAGCACAACCCATCACCAGCAGAGGAAGGAAGTAGAGCAGGATGGCCACACACACATAGTACCTATAACAAGATATACAGATGGGTGAAAAAACCAATGTGTCTCAGTATGCAGGCCAACACACACTCTCGGTGTATGCCAGATTTGGCATTGCAACTTACATCTTGTCTTCTTCAAGATATGATCAGTTTACTGGTTATATAAATGTATATTCACATTACTCTTGTTTTTTAATCTCTGAAGAGTCTAAACACACTGTATCTTTTCCAGATTCCAGGTACCCCTTAAGCTTGTACATCAAAATCGGCGTGTTGAATTAAAAAACTTCCTACTTTTCCTATATTTGCAGCTATACATGCCATATCACTTAGCATACATTCAATTCTGCATTACATAATCCGTTCTTTTATACTTAATTGCCTGTATGTGTTTTGATGAAATCCAGACACCATCCTGACCTTTGGATACTGGCCTAAGGGTCAGTGCTGAGTCGGTGGCTTGCACAAAGTTAGATAGTAAATTGATAAAATGGCTAAGGTTCATCACCAGTTGGCACTCAACATTCTGCATTTTGATGGCTCCACTGATTAGAAGAAACCGTAATAAATACAATGTTTTTTGTGTTTTGTAAGATTCCAATTCTACATCAAATGCTACTCACCTATTTATGTCTATTCACAGCTACCCCAATGATAATCAACGGTTTCATGAGGGCATCTGTCCATCATTAAAAAACAACTAGGAAAGCAAAGTTGAAGGTAAACAGGGTCAAGTCCTTCCTGTTTTACATGGCCCAAGGCAAAGATTTGGCTCTTTTTGGACAAGAGAGAATTTGGCTAAGTGTGGCTCTCCTAATCAGTTGTAACTAATTGGTTATGACACAAGCCTGACGTGAAGTGCGACTAAATCCAACATTGTGTTTCTGCAGATGGTCAAACTGCCTGGGCTGTGCTCTATTTGTGGAATGTTTATACCTTCCTGAACGAGAACCCCTCTGGAGCCGCTCAGTAGCTGAAATGTCCATTTTGAATTCCAACCTATAGGTGAGTCAGTCCCAGGTCGATACATCCACAGGGGAAGTTTTTTGTCTATTCAAGTGGGTTACAATGGCCATAATGGACTGGGAGTTTCCGAAAATTATGTCCACGTTGGCAACAAAGAATGAAAGCCAGTTACACAGAACCCTACATTGGTCATAATACCTCCCCTCTACATACAAGGAGCCAACTGCCGTGTCAAGCGACTGTCTGGAGATGGGTTAACTCAATGCACTTCCACTGAATCTTCCTGTGACACGTGAGATACTTATCCCTCACTTGCTAAATGCTTCTCTTAAATGCCTGAAACTGGAGAGATGGAAAGCTACTTGGTTCCTTACTTCTTGGAGGATGAAGTCTAAATGTGTAAGTGGAACTTGCATGCAGCATACCTGGGAAAGTCTGAGTCTGAGAGAATGAACCCTAATCAGGAATCAGCTAGTGACTGGAACAATGTGTATCAAATTGTTGTCCCATCTGCCTGTCATCAGCATGTATTGTCTCTTGTACATGACCAACCATGGTCTGGGCTCTTAGGGGTCACAAAACAAGATATTTTAAACATAACAAAAAAGGGAAAACAACAAAGAAAGAGAAAGATGACAGGAAGAGAACAAACAAATAAAAGAACGGAAAAGAAACAACAAAACAAGGTACAAGGTTGTTTATTAGTCATTATACAGCACAAGGCTAACAAAACAAAATTTGGAGATCCTTCATGCTACACACACACACACAACATATAATAGGCCTACATTAAAATATGGTAACACAAAAAATAAAACAAGTTATACAGTTTTTTTATCTACATATATACATACACGTATACACCCCAAACATTCCACAGTGCATTTTTTTTATTTGCTTCTGTGGTGAATGTAAACAGCAGCAACCAGATGACAATATGAAAGTTTCATCTTCACAATACAGTCTGACACATGGGAAACAGAGTCCATCTTGACTGCGTTTGAGCACCAAGCATCATTGATGTAAAACACTGAGTCCACCTCCTCCTCTTCTTGATGTAATGCAGTGGAACATTCTTATCGGGGCTGCAAGGACACTGGACTCTAGTAGTAAGTGCACTTTAATCAATGCAATGAATGCAACTATTTTTAACTCCTGAGGAAAAGGCCATCTATCCAAAGGAAGGACGAGCTCTGTTTGCAGTCCTATTTGGAGCCACTTCCAATCATCTAAAAAATTGCAGCAAATCCAGGATTTATTGTCATGTGTTTCATATGGTAAGTATATTAAATGGTTTCTGATGTGCAAATAACAAACAACAAAATATAAATATTTTTTGCTTTAGGGCTTTTGTGCAAAAGAAAAGTAAAAAAAAGTCTTTAAACCCTGTCAGCAGGATTCCACATCCTGTGAGTGTTAATCTGCAAAGTAAGATTATGTACCCTACTAAGCAATTTAACACAAGCATTTTAAAATGACACAAATAACACTAACCTGTATTTTAAGGTAGCAGAGCTACTGTTGTTGAAAGGTGGTTGCATAGACTTTGCTGCAGACGAGGTAGACATCAACTCCATTCAAAGAGAAATGGCCAGGAGACTTCAATCAATTGTAAAGTTTGCCTAAACTTAACCCACTTTGAAATTGGCATATCTTTTAATAGACAACCTGACAGAACTGCGCTGCATCTGTCTGCAAAGAAACAGTGAAAGGGACACCCCAGAGGCACCTGTGGATCATTGGTTAGGATGCTTTTAAATGTATTTCCATGCAGCAAAGCCTAATGTGAATGTGGACTTTTTTTTGTCTGCTGGCCTGCTCACCACCACATTAAATGGTCACCCTCTTCGTTCCTGTCTCCACCTGACACTGTGGAGTCCTTCCACTTGCTGGGCACCATCATCGCCCAGGACTTCAAGTGGGATCAACATCAGCTCCCCCACTAAGGAAGCCCATATACCAGAGCATATACTGCTGGTATATAATTCTAGACTAAAGAGGAAAGACTAAACTCTTTCATCATGGATCACATATTCCTGGAGTAGGAATTTTTTAGAAAACGTCTCTGGCTAAAGTAAACGAGGAGGTTAAATGCGTTGAACTGCAAAAAGAAAATAAGGAAATAAAAAAAGGAAAGTAAATGCTTGCATGAGCAAAATAGGGCTTGGGTGTGTGATCTCTCTGCTAATGGGATTGTATAGTATAGTGAAAATAGTGTAAGGTTAACAACTGCTCTACACAGTCCAGTGACATGGGCAGATCAAGAGTAGTATTTGTAAAAACCTCCTTTATGGAGCTCTTTATCAACAGCAGTCAAGCAGTGTAGTTGTACTTGTTGTTTTACTACTGAGCACAGGTTCACAGGTGAAAGTCTTACATTGACTACTGAAATTATCCCCGATTAAAAAAGACACAAGGCTGAAGGTATGTGTACAACAATCAACATACTGACCACCTTTCTAATATTGTGTAGGTCCCCGTTTTTGCCACCAAAACAGTCCTGACTCCGCCGTGGCATGTACTCCACCAGACCTCTGAAGGTGTGATATCTGGTACTCAGACATTAGCAGCAGATCTACCTTTCTATCAGAACCAGCGTCAACTTTTTCAGCAATTTGACCTACAGTAGTTCGTCTGTTGGATCGGACCACACTGTCCAGGCTTTCGCTCCCCACATGTATTGTTAAGCCTTGGCAACCCCTAACCCTGTTGCCAGTTCACCGCTTCCTTGGACCACTTCTGATAGCTCCTGACCATTTCAGACTGGAAACACTCCACAAGAGCTGCAGTTTTGGGGATGCTCTGACCGAATCGTCTAGCCACAACAAATTGGCCCTTGTCAAAGTCGCTCAGATCCTTTACACTTGCCCATTTTCCCCGCTTCTAACACATCAACTATGATGACAAAATGTTCACTTGCTGCCTAATATGTCCACCATTGTCACTGACATGTGCAATGGTGACGAGATAATCAGTGTTATCCACTTCACCTGCCACAATGTTTTGGCTGATTGGTGTGTAATAAAGATGCAAATAATTATTTAATCAATTTTAGACATCTATTTAGATTTTGGCTCAACAGCATTTAGTGGCTTTATTTCAGCTACTTCAAATTTACATAATCAGACTATATGAAACCTATAAAAAACACTTTCTAACTACATTCTGCAGCTGCATCACAATCCTGCTCACTCAGAAATATTAATATATAATTTCCAATATTATTGTAATTATGTTCCATCAGTGTGACCAATCACATCATGAGTGAAAGAGATTATTATTCATTGACCCACCTGTCTTAAGCTTCATACTGATTTTTATAATTAAAACTGAGATTACACATTATATGCAATAAACATTTAAACTGCTCTAACAAACTAACAGCTGTCTTGTGTCAAAAAACGGACATGCAGAGCTAGTGACATGATGCTGTGTAAATGTCAGGGAGAATGTGAAACCGCTGTTCAAAGGAATGACTGAGCTCATAAAAGTGGTAACTTTAGACATCCCTCTTGACAAAAAATATAAGTTAAGTTAATCAGACTGGCCATGATTGCTGTTAATAAATGTATTGTACTATTATGGAAGAGCATGGACTATCTCTCTGTGTCCATGTGGCTTAAAGAAATGTCCTGGTACACGGCATCAGAAAAAGAAAATGTTCAACCCAAAGATTTGGTTTTCTTTTAAGAAAAAACACATCTCTTTGATAAATGCTGGTCTGGCTTTTGGAACTAAAGACGAAATATGCCACAACCTGTTGTGGGTTGATGAGGGGATCTACCTGGTATACACACATGTGCAGCTATGTTGAAATGTATAACGGACGCCCCTTTGTACTATGTGTAATCCTTGAGTTTGATTTCATTTTATGTGTATTTATAATTTTTTTATGTATGTAATTAGATTATTATTATTTTATTAGTTTTTTTTATTATACATACTATTTGCCACTTATTATTATTGTTATGATTGTTATAATTCTTCCCTCTTCTTTACTGGCACTATTGTTTTATTATGGCCCTGGTCAGGAGGTAGGGGCGGGCGGGTCTGGAGGG